TATATATACTTGAACATTGAACATTTCAAAGAAGAGAAAAAAAGAAGTTACACTCCTCCGTTTCATCTTACTGCGTACGTGAGGCATTGCTGTACAGTACATAGAGAACCGTTGACGAAGTGTACATATGGAACATGAGATGGTTTAGAGGTGGGCCAAAAAAAAAAAGAAAAAGAAAAAGAAAAAGACAAAGAAAAGAAAAGAAATAGGAACAGGACGAAGAGAACTAAGGAAACAAGAAAAGGAAAAGGAAAAAAGGAAACACATAGAAAGAATGGGATGGCTAAAGAACCATGCAAGAAATTAATTCGAAAATTCAAAAATAAAAATAAAAATAATATAAAATTTCCGGCGACTGGAAGACAACCTTAGGATACATAAATGACGATATTACAAAAGTTGGTACAGAGGTGGTAGGGTTTGTCCAAGAGGGACCAGAAGCAAAAGGTAGCCGTAAGAAATACCTAAGAGGCGCAAAGAAAATGGTTTTAAAGTAAACAATGAAATTGTCTCGTGAAAAGGAAATAAGGTGCCAGGTGAAATGCAAGTCAAAAAAAGAGAAAAGGAAGCCGCTTGCTGTGAAATCGCAGTTTATGAAAAGTCCAGACTTAAAATTTCTTAGGCGTGTAACTGACCCCATGCTGAGATCCGTTCAGCAATATCAAAAGGCGGTATGGTGTGTATGAAATGAAGAATGAATGTAGGTCGGTAGCGCAAAATCAAAGACCGGACGAAGCAAGCTCTGTTGGGACCATTCAATGCTCGAAATTTGGAATTTTGCCTCCCAGAAAGAGGGGACTGAGGTACATGTTTGTTGCTAATTGCTAACAAAGAACTTCGTCCTAATGCTGAGGGGATTAGGGAAAGTGCACGGCTATCGGGATTCAGACGAGGTAGACACGGTCCGTTTCGTCCATCCGCTAAAAAACCCCGCTGCAGAAACGCCGGCGCTCGAACCTGGCGTTTTAACAGATTCTGTCGGGGAGTGTGGATAGGTTTTGGACGTCGCAGGTGAGTTGACGGTGAGACTGCGGCTTAAATTAAGTGGACCAGGCCCCCTAGTTGAGCTGTCTGCCGAACGGCTTATCAGCTTCCTCAAAGAATCCAGTTTTGCTTTCACCTCTTCTAGCTCCTGTCGAGCAACCGCCTCCGCAGTCTTTGCGTTGACAAGCTCGAGGAGAAGATTCTCGTCGGGGCCTACGCGGGAGTCCTCGTTGGACACAAATGCCTGTGCTCCAAGGCTGCTGGTTCTTTTCGAGAAGGTAGAAGCGGATGAACCCGTCCGACAAAGCTTAAATTCGCGCAAGCCAGTCGATCCTCTATCCGCGGAACCTGTGGAACCTTGAGGCTCGTGCGAGGTGCCTGATCGGGAATTTTTTCTCACACGGAGTTCTTGGATGATTTTCTCGAGTCTTTGTCTGTCTTTGTGGGCCTCCTGCAGGCGAGCTTGTGCTCTTTTCAGCTCGTCCTTAACTTGGGAACACTCTACATCTTTATCGTCAATGTGTCTGCTCAGGTCTTTACATATTGAAGCCTCCTGTGCATATTTCTCCTTCCACTTAACCATCTCATCTCGGAGTTCGCGTTTTGTTTGAACTATTGAGGCACGGCGAGATTCTGTGGGAGAAAATCGATTAATGGCTTTGGCGAGTAGGGTCGCATGTTCATGTTCGTCTTGGCCGGAATTTTCCCTCAAATATCCAAGCATTAGCCTTCCAACCTGCTGGTCTTCTTCTCGCTCCTCCCTTTCTCTCTGGAGGTCTTTGGCCAAAGCTGCCTGTTCGCGTTGCATGTCCGTCAGAGCTGTCAATAGATCTTCTATTTGACTGTGTAAGTCTCTATCTTGATTTGGCGTTCCAGCCATTCTCGTTTTACGCTTGGTTGAATCCACGGCGGAGGCTTGGGCTGATGAGGACTCAGTTGGGGCGGTGCTAGCATCGGACGTTGATTCGAACGAATTTAGTGTAGAGGCCATGCTTTGTTTGGAGGGGGTTCGTCGCACAGCACTGGAGGGCCGTGAAACCAAAGGGGGGGCGTTTGGATTCAACGTAAGTGATCTAGCAGAATTATGGGATCCGGATCCCGCCCAAAGACGTCCTAGGAACCTTGAAGCGACAGCTTGCATCTGAGGAAAGTAAACACTGGTTGAGGTGGCTTGCGATTCTTTATAGCTTGTTTCCAGTTCCTGCAGACTTTCCCGCGTCACGAAGGAAGTCAATGATACGAAGTCCTGGACTAGTGTGTCCGCGCTACCTCCATATCTATCGGGATGAGACGTTAGTACATGGTTATTGTGGGAAAGAAATAAGGACACCACTTACGTATCCCATATACTCCTGGCAAGCAAAAGCTGCATAACATCTTCAAGTTCCTCGCATGCTAGGAGCTTTTTCTGATTTCGCTGCATGAGTGAAAGAGCCACTCGCATCAATGTTTCACAAGCTCCCTCCAAAAGTAAAACGTCGTAAATACGGAGAAGCATCGGCAGTGGACATGTAACCCCAAAGAACGACAAGAACCACTGAGAAACATAAACCGGCTCGATTCTCAGGGATTCCAAATGCGAGTGGAGTTCCGGTAAATGACGCGAAAGGAGAGTCTGAAACTGATATATCCGTAGGTGCAAACCAGACAGTGTTGGCAAGAAACAGGAACGTAGATCATAGTGGTCCATGAGGCTGTAGAAATAAAATAGTATTAGTGAGTGATAAATGGCAATGAGAAAAGAGTTGTGCCTACCGGACGAGCACACAGAACGCCTCAGCGTCGCTCATGTGCATTAAAAGAGGGCCAACAACAAAACCCAATCCCTGGCAATACCCGATCTTGTCATCATAAAGACTAAAACATCTTAATACCCTTCCTAGCATCTGCTGTCCCTCTCCATTCGGGTCACGGAACATCTCCACACTCGGGAAACTTCTACCAATATCTTTGCCAATTAAGCCCTCATATGGACTAGTCTCCCCGCTGAGCCTCTCAAATTCATCTAAAAGATCCGAATCTCTAGCACCAGCAATGCTGGGCCATACTACTCCTCTTAATGGTGGGGGCACACCCGCTCTGATCTTGTTCGAGGTCAATGTAGGTAATCGTTGAGCAGTGTGGTTGTAGTCTGCGACAAGCGCAGCCCAGAAGTCCAACTCGGTCATCTGAGGGGTGGGGAGCTGGGAAAATCGCAGGGAAGTTCTCTGCGGTTCGTCCACAAGCTTTCTGATCTGATGAAGAGACGGAGGACGGGAGTCCTTTCGAACATGTGAGCCTGACTTGGGATTCCCGGCCAGTGCATTGTTCTCTTGTTCTAGTCTCGCAAGAAGTAGAGCAGTAGACTAATGCCTGTAAGAAAATATTCCATGGTAGAAGGAAATCGCGTTTTCAACAGATCAACTCACCTCATCTCCAGGGTCACTCTTGGACTCCAATTGCTCTGTTTTTTCCAATTCTCTCCAGTCAACGTGCTCACTTCCCTCTTGAGATTCCGGCCCACTGCTTCCTCCGCTACTTCTAGAACCTGTAGAAGAAGAAGAACCTGTGCTTCCTGATCGAACGTTGGAATGCCGCCGTGGAGTGTCCTCATTTGGTGGGACAATGCTTTCTCCCTCAGCAATATCTTCGGGGTCTTCTACAACTGGAGACGAGAACACAGCGGAGGTACGACTAACAGAGTCCGTGGTCTTAGGGCCGAATGAAGCGTCTGAAAGGGGTACGGTAACCATAGAATCCGTCGGCTGCGGCTCACGGCTGTCGGAAGCCAACGAAGACCGAGCCTCGATGGATGATTCTGGCATATCTGGAGAACAATCCATGCTGAATATCTGAACAATAGGAGTGCCGGTTGCTAGTGGGTAGGCATGGATACTAAAACAAGCTGCATGCAAGTGTGATATCGAGACACAGAATAGGCGTGATATGACAAGATGGGGTGTGAGGGGGATTGGACCAGTTTAAAAGATGTCTGGATTACGGGAAAAAGAACGGGGAACAGGGCGAACCAAATGAGGGGGTTGAAGCTGCAACAAGGTCGCCGGCGACAATTGCAGGACCAAAGGAGTGTGGGCGACCAAGGATCGCAGTACTATTAGGGAATGACTGGGGCGCTGCTCTTCCGACGCGAACGTGAAGATGAGACAGGAATGAGTAGGGTGTCGTTCGTCGTCGGGAGTCCCTACGAGACAAGGGACGATAAGGGGTTTGAGACCTGATGGATGGCGTAATCCGTTAGTCAGAAACGGCCGCTATTTCTAAAGAAGGTTAGCGAAGTATAGTTTAATTTAGGTTTTCAGGAATAGGAAAAAACATCAACCAACTCAAGAAAAGATCAGACGCAAGAGAAATACGATACATACTATACTATAGGCAACTTTTATACCAATTCTACTTGATATGTACTATGCGCAGGAAACAACCCTATTGTCGTGCTTTCTTTGACGTCGGTAGGGAATATCTCTAAACTCCCATTGTTGTCCTTTGTGCCATCGCGAGGCAATCTTGCAGCTTTCTATTGTTGCCCCTTTTTGACGTCGCCGTCGCCAGTTGGCCCAATGGGTATTCCCGGTCTAGAATCTCAAACGAGTTGATGTTTCTCCGGTCTATTATTCCCTCCATCTGATATTTGATTCATTGAGAGGTCGACTTCTTTTGAAGTTGAAGCCACCATAGCGGTTTAAAAACCCCAGAAAAAATATCGGCGGGTGGACACTTTCGAGTGCCTCCGAACAGAAATACACGTAATCAGCCTGCCGTTCGGTCTTCATGTGCCATAGTGACAATAGGAAACAACTAACTTTGTACGGTTTACTTAACCTAAAATTTTTTTAGGATGCAGCTTTGACTGTCTAGGGGGGGATCTCAGGCCCGTGCGAGAAAGCTACATGCAATAAAATACTATTAAAACACACAAGTCACGGAAACAACTCTTCCCAAGTGCAATTTATTGTTTGGCCCCATACTTATTTTCCTAGCTACTTCAACATGAAACCCCTGATTGATATTTGATGAAACAGCACTGAGGTTCAATGTTCACTCCTCGTCTCTTTAACGAGCGACACGGGACCACCATTGTTCCTTATGTCAAGTATGCCCGGTATCAAAACCAAAAGCTGGCAATCCAAAATCTCATCATATTTCCATCCAACTCACGAGCAACTTCGCGTCCTATATACCCCAGAAAGAACGCGCTGCTTGTGCGCTATGCTGGCCGTCGCGAGAGTTTTCTGACTAGGCAGAACACCAACAGCCGCCTGAGGCATAGAAGCAGTTCGGGCGTGGGTCGCAGCAGTAATAACCGCGGCATACGCCGACGCAATAATAGCAAGCTACCAATTTCGAAATGGAAGAAAACCTTAATCAGCTCCGCAGGATTCCCGTCCATATTGAAACGGGCGTAACGAGGAAGATAAGAAAGCAAAATATAATCATACCATCTGCGAGGACATCACCGTTACCCTTCGTGGCAGGAGAGGTGTCTAGGGAGTTGGCTATAAGAGAGCAGAAAATACGTTAGCTTTTCCCTAAAACCGATTGTGACATATACATCATACTGGCCGAACCTACTAGCAGCCTTTTTCTCCATTTCAGGAGCAGCGAGGATTGTGGTTAGGCCTGAAAACAGGCAGAGAAGCAAAATATTGAGCTTCATATTGCTTTTCTTTTTTCCAGATTTTGGTTGGGCTCTATTGTCCTTAGATTGGCTTTAAGGTTTGACACTCTTGAGGTTTAACGACCGTGAGGGAAGAAAATAGAGGTATTGGAAAGGGGATTTTACTCCCTTTTATGTCTTGTCTGATTCACTGAGCTCCAGATCAACTTCCCTCTTCGTCCCCTTCAAATACCACCTCTTAAAGGATGCGTTCCATCGTGTATGACAATGCATACTCAAAAATTCACAAACACGAGGCCGTAAAACCTGTTTCTTCCACGATCTAAACGCTCCGATGTCCCCAAATTTCCTATTTTAAAGAGCACCCCTAGGCAACGATATGAGAGTGCAATTATCTGGTTATAAGCAGAATATTGCCTCATACACATCACATTTTCTTGCCTTTTCCTCCATGCGCCATGATTAGAATCCCTGGCACGAATACGAGCTTCGCGGAATTCCAAAAACGGGCATTTTCGACTTCGCAAGATGATGAGGGCTTTGGATGTTTTCAACACAGTACATACACTATAATCCTGATCGTCTTCGAACATTCTGGTTGAAAACAACCTATTTCATATAGGCTTGGCGCTTATCAAACCGAACGGATTCTCTCCGTCTTAGATAGGAGATCATGTTGGACAAAGGAGCATGGTCAAGCTATCAGAAATGTGCCAGCGCAATAGGCGGCATTACCACCCCATTCAACACTGGTCAACAATCTGGAAGCTTGGGTGTCATCCCTCCTACTAAGGGATCCTTGTGGGAAAATACAAATGCCCTGAACCAATCAAGCGTGATCTCCATCAAGTTAAGGGCTTGCAATTTAGGTTCTGACCCTTCTGAGTCCACATGAGTATCTCAAAGGTATGAATTAAGATTCGTGAGCCATTGGAGCCGGTTCGAATCCGGGGAAATCGGGGGAACTCTGTATTTTTATTCTGAACAGCCTATACACCCTGATCTGGCAGGAAACAAAATTTAAAAACGATGCAGTTCTATACGCAGTACATTTATCTTTTGGATATGCTTGCTCCCTTCCTTGTACTCCTACATCCCACATGCTTTCAACCGCTGCAACAAAGCTGCAACCTTCCATCCGGGCTTGCCTCGTACCACCATCGTGTGTTTACTTTACTGCTGCATTATTATTGTAAGAATTCGTTCAACCCGAAGCTAGACAAGGGATCAGGCATGTTTCGATCAAGAAATGAGCTGAGTGGATGACACGAATTCATATCTCTGCGATATTAACAGAAAAAAAATTAAGATTTCAGAGCACTGCTTCCTTATCGTTCACGGGCTTCGATCAGGTCAACAATGGAAGTTTGCATCGTTGCTGTTGTGCAACACAGCTTTTGGACTCACCATCCTTCTTGAGGGATTTATAGCTGGTACGATAAATGTAATAATATGCCTTAGAATAGTAGTTACAAGTTTCTTAGATATACTTTAACGGATGCTGCCTAGCTGAAGCTAACATGAATCATGCGACGTGGATTCATTCTAACTATCTCAAGCAGAGTGCGTTGGCTAGAATCATATAACTCCGCCCTCTGCATCACCGCTAACTGTTTCTTCGTTTTATACTCTAAGCACCATAACCTATCCCTCCTCTCAAATTCCAATCCTTGCAGCTCGGGGGTGCATGTCGGCAACTACTTATCGGGGTGTCAGATAATATATCCCATATTGGCGGTAAAAATATCCGCATCGGCAACGTTAGTTCTCAGAAGCGTAACGAAGCCCGCCACTAATCAGAAATGGGGCATTAAAAAACAACTCTCCTGTGAACCGGGACTATGAGATGAATGCTAAACCCTCATTCCGGGATACTCGTTTAGAAACGTCGTACAATTCATACGCGACCCTGCATGCGGTCAGCAGGTCGTGCTTGGTTCCACTGCAAGAATCACTACAGCGCCTTGGAGGTTCAGTAGAGGTAAATAACAAGACGCTTCTTGATTGGATATAACGGATGGTGAAGGGCTGTTGACTCCCTGAGTTGGGTGGGAAGAAAGTATGTGCTGTAACTACATACAACCCAGAACCGCCAGTGATAATTTGCGGAAGCGAAGGATAATCGTGCCGCTGCTTACTCACTCACCTCTAGTGAGTGCGTGTCAGGAAAAAGAGGTCATACACTATGAACACCAACATCATATTACTACTACTATTTCTCTTATCATCAGCTTACTACAGAGCTCGTCTAATACTCGCTTATGCTAGCTCTCTTGGCTCGCACGTTTGTTTTTGTTGGGGGTCCCGCGGTTGATCGGCCCTTCTACCAGCAGTGCGCTGGTGGTGATCGAGCTCTTTTGCCCCAGTAGCCTACAGTTTTACTATAAATAGCTTACATGCGCATACTACGTATGAATTCATGCGGAAACATCAGATTCATCTGTGTGATAGTGGCATTAATTAAAAACACCACTGAAAAGGTCAGGTATCCTGCCACACACGCAGTCTATAGTGACTCTTGGAGGATAACGTTGTTGTATATGTGTACGCAATCTACACTAAATAGGTTGGGTGAGGCCAGTTGTCTGCTTGCACATCCGTCTCCAATATCTATCTCAAGCAACCAAGCCCCTCTGTGAACAGGCAGCAGGATGCACGAATTCCAGAACACATTGCCAGTATACATTTCTTGAAGCACCATCTACAGTATAAATATGTATAAATAAATAAATATATATATTACTATTCTCCCAGTTAATATTCTGGGTGAGCTCATTACTCTCTATACCAATAGCATCAAGCTGAACACAGAAGCAGAAAGCCTGGAAAAGGAGATGTAGAAAGGATGTCGGAAAAACCTACTCTGCAATTCCTACCCGGAGAAATACTGCAACTCATCCATTTCTTTCTCCCGCTAGGCTCCAAACTTGCCCTCTCCCTAACCTGCAAACGCTTCTACAACAGCTTCTTTGAAAACATCCCCCCATTCTACCTGAACGACCCCCTCAGGCGTCGGGAATTTGAAAAACTTGCCAGGAACCAGACCATAATCGATGAATTGAAAGTCTACGATTTTCTCCGCTCCCGCGAACTGTGTGGATTTAAATCGTCGGGCCGGAAACTCTTCTGCTGCGACCCCTGCCACACAAGACATCTCCCGCTCTTCTTCCACCCGGCAGACCTTGACGTACCCGTCAGCGAGCGCACATGCATCAAACACATCAGAGGCTTCTGGGTCGAGCCGGGCAAATGCTTCAGCTTTGCAGATCTAGACGGGCGACGGCTGGACAAGATGCGGACTCCCCGCTCCATCCCCCTGAGCGAGGATACCGCCAACGTTCGCAGATACACATTATGGACGCACTACGACATCCTCACACTGCCGATGCACCAGGTCGCATCGAAAGAGCAAATCGCCAAGATGCTAAACGGCTTTGACCTGCCCGCCTGCCCGCACATTCGCCTCAGCGACAGCGTGATCATGGACAATTGCGACATTCCGCGCAACACGGTCGCCGAGCCGCTGGCCCAGCGCTACCCGCCCTTCTTCGACCTGGTCGATCTCTATACAAAATGCACGTTCCCCTCCTGTCTTACCTCGTTCTGCTGGACGGAACATACCAGCACGGACAATCGAGGGTGGAAAACCGTCTACCTCCATATCCTCCGTAAAGTACGCTTCAATACGTCTATTGACCATGTTTGGATGGCGCAGCTGATCGTCCCCGACGAGACGCTGCTGGAACGCCATTGGGACGAGTGCTTCCGGTGGAAAACGGAGATGATGGCCATTGAGAAGGAGAGGTATGAGAATGAGGAGAGTGCCGGTAATGGTAACGGTAGCCATAGAGATTCCAACCATGAAACCTACCTTGCTCGGAATACCCAACTCTGCCGACTCGAGGAGATCGTCAACGCCCTCTTCCACCCCCGCCGTCTACATAACTACCCAGACATCGCACGTAGACTACAAACAGCGAGTGAAGGTGCATTCGCCACCAGTAATCCTAATTATGACCCAGACATGCCCATGCGCATGCCCTGTCTTCCCAATCGCCGCCTATGGACCCCCCCGGCCAAACCGATTGTTACGAGCGACAAGATGCTTGATATAGACCTGTCTAGAAAAGCCGTACCGAGAGAGCCTGGCCGCGCAGCGTTCAAACCGTTCATGACGGAGGAGGATTTTCAGCCGTATGGCAAACGGGTGGGCCCTATACCTATGCCGGCCCGTCGAGGAGAGCAGGACAAGCCAACTTCGTGGTTGGGAAGGTTGTTTAAACTGGCAGCCACATAACTACTTACTTAAATGGAGAGTACACCGTACAAAATCCAATATAACCACCACCTTTGACCTGCCTTAATCACATCCCTCAATAACTTGCAAAGATAAAAAATAAAAAACAAAATGTAACAGAATAAAGTTTAAAAAAAAAAAAAAAAAAAAAAAAAAAAAAAAACCAAGACGACGCGAGCAGGATTCGAACCTACGCCCCCGAAGGGAAGAGATTAGCCAGTTCTAGTCTCTCGCGTTAACCACTCCGCCATCGCGCCTTGTCATACCGAGGATGTATCGATATTTGCTATATGACTTATTACGGTGACCACCTGCCTACCAAGCTACTGGAAGAAAAGCGCGGATCTCCGAACATTCTATTTAAAATGCGGGGGGGGAGATATTGAACTGAACTACCTTCAAACCTACTAAAGATTTATTTGAATTCTTCGTTCCGCAAGCAAAAAAGGATATACAAGAGTAATGGCTATACGTAAGGTATATCACTCAGGGAAATTATCCCAGCTTCGCCCAAACACCCAAGGTAAAAAGCTCAACAAACCAACTGTACTAGAGAAATCAAATTACTCCCGCTCGCTGTCGCTTAACACCGAATTGCATCCAGCGTAGACAATTCTGAACAAAAATAGGGGAATGGCTATGAAGACACAGCTCCGAAGAAAGAAAATCACTCGTCTCCATGGAGCCAGAGCAATTGAATAATCTCTCTAGGTTAATTAACTAGTGTATACCATTTTGACTACGTACCCCATAAATATGCTCGCTTGACTGGCTGAGATGGCCCTCGCTCGTCTGTCCCACGTCCGACTTACACTTCTCACCAGTCCGGCCAATGTTGCGTGCTCGCCTGCTGGCTGCCAGGATTTTTGCAAATTTGGATTTTTCTCTAATGATGGCTCCTTTCCAATAGAATATGTAAATGGGGATGGTAACCACGAGTGAGATAATCGCCAGAATGGTCGAGGGCCATTCAAGTTGATATTTGTTGCCGATGTTTTCGTACACTATATTATATCAATCAGCAAAGGATAGCCAAGGTTCACGCATCTGGGGTTACTAAAACTCACATGGTGTTGAGTACATCGCTGCAATGCCAGCAAGGAAATCCCTTGCGAGTGCATTACCACCCGTCGCAGATGCGGAATACGGCCCATAACTTGCGACCATGTAGTCAATCGTCGCCATGTATATGCAGTACTATTATATGAGCTCGTTAACTTGCAATACACGGAGAATGCGAATATTATGGATGGGAGTCTCCATTTACATTTGCAACGGCAATCAACAGAGAAAATATCATTGGGGCAATCCAATGTACTTGGGGTGGGCCTAAACTGGTCCAGGCAAATCCGAATAAACCGATGGTTTCAAGAGGGGCAGCTACGTAAAACATCCATGTCAGCTTAATGGATCGCATAAGGCATAGGCAGATATGCAGGATTAGCCCTACTAAATAAGAGCCACCATAACCTTGATTCTGGCTCAAGAACATTTGAATTTTTCCTGTGAATCTTTCGGTGCTTTGTCATGATGGGGAGAAAGGAGATGTAGCCGATGAAGTATCCGATGAGGATGCTATGGTGCAAGATTAGCAACACATTCAAACTTGTAAACACCCTTTGCCTACGAATCATATACACTTACGGTATAAAAGCCAGCCCAACGTGGATGGTGCCAAATCCCCATTGGGCATACACAGGCTGGTACGACTCGAGGAAAGTGAAGATCAAGGCATCGCTAAAGCCACTGAGAAGTGACAGACAAAACACGATGGGCTCGCGGACAAACATACTAAACGGTCGAAGCCAGATTATCGCAACAGCTTTCACCGAAATTCCCTGTCCGTGGATCTCACTGGGGCCGTAAATACCTGGCTGCCCTGCCTTGCGTCGCCGTTTAGCCTCTCTGTCTAGCAATATAGTAGTTCTTGTTTCTGGGACAAGTAACAGGTGAGCGAGTTGAGCAGCCGCTCCAAAAATTAGCTGAACCCAAAAGTTCCATCTCCAGTCGAGATAAACCTCCATGAAGCCGCCGACGATGGGTGCTATGACAGAACCCGCAACAGAAGAAAGTACAATGAAAGCGACAGCAAATTGTTGGTCGTCTGGTTCCCACATATCTGCAATCATGCCCAGTGTAACAGAACCACCAGCGGAGGATAAACCACCGAAAAAGCGCCCGACCACAATGGTGTGGTAATTTCGAGCCAGCGCGCAAGGGATTTGCCATATGTTTACCAGGGATAAACTTAGCTGCATGATAGGATACCGGCCAAGCTCTTCGCTCCAAGGGGCCCATAGCTCACTGCCAAACGCGTAGGCGACGAGGAAAATCATCTGGCCCACCCTAGCAGCTTGCTCGGAAATAGAAAAATGTTGAGCTAGCGGGGTGATGGCATTGGCGTAGATACTTGTATTAAAGTTCATTGATAATTGCACGAAAAAGACGACGCTTAGAATTGTCCACTTTTTCCATCGCGGGAAGCTGAATCCCAGTATCCCATAGCACTCGCTTTCAAGAAGCAGTGTCTTTGTGGTCTCATCTTTTTGTGCGGACCCTATCGGTGATATGGGTGCAATTGGCAGTAATTCACGCTGACCATTACGTAAGGGATAGTGGTCTTCTCCGCTCGTAGGATGAGATGTGAAAGAAGACAACCGTAGGGCATCACTCTCAGCAGAAGACGGCAGCTTATCCCGTAGGCTCGCTTGAAATTTTGGGACGAATCTGGGGTAGGTTTTATGGCGCGAATGAGAGCGTTTATGTTCTTCTTGCGCCGAAATCTGAGCAACAGGGTCCGAGGCGGTCATTGTATAAGAATGGGATTATCAACAAATAGTATTCCACAGGATAAGGCTGTGGAAGAGCTAGACACATTGGAAAAGGATATAGAATAAAAGAAGAGCCAGTAGAATGCAATGAGCAGGAAAGTAAAGAGAAGAACCGATGAGAAAACAACAATAAGGCCATGGCAAGCAGCAAGCAGCAAGCACACTCCCGCGCCGAGGGAGGAAGAACCGTCACAACCATATTGGTTCGCTGCTGCTGTGATTATCATTATTCCTGCTGTTATAGTTGCCGTATCAAGCACAAGGAGAAGTAAGTAAACAACATCTTTGTATACACGGACAAGCCAGATGTGCCCCCATGTATGTACTACTAGTACATTGTAGTATTAGGGAGCTGTCTGGGAGGTTTCAGAAATAGTAAGCATATCATGAGCATCCATGGTTATATTTCAGGTGATGTTGAATTGCCAGATGTCCAAACAGCGTTGCTGTCTTCGGATAGCGTCGAGTAGATAAGTTGTAAATACTTAGTTAGTTGTATGTTATAACTATAGGTTGAGCTGAGCTGAACGGCGACCTGTCACCAACCCACCCCCCCTGGCTGACTAAAGACATAAGTTAGTTAACCTCTAGTTATTCCAGGAGCCGCGTCCTGCTCCACTCTGAACAACATCACTCCTCAACCCAATTATTTAGTATATGTTTGTGAGCAGCAACGTTGCTTCAGTCACCTCACCGGTTACATAACTATATAGTTGCCGACTTTGCATGCCGAACCCGGCTATCAACCCAACCTTCCAAGCCTTCGATCGTAATCGGAGCAATGGAGAACTGGAAATTTTTCATTGGAGCTGAAGCGATTGGGTTGAATTCGATATCCATGGATTGGCATCAAAAGCCTCTTTCGGGAAAATGACGTTGTCCAAGAGAGTAAGGTTTCGAGTTACAGCACCCGTCATCCTCCATGAAATCACTGAAATCATGCGCTGAATACACTCCCAGCACTGGCAGTCGTTGCTAGTGGTTGCCGTTGTTTACGCGGCATTACTTTTGCTTTCTTTTCTTTTCTTTTTCCTTTTTCCTTTTTCTTTTTTTTGGGATTATTCGATGCAAGCCAAAGGAATATAAAAGAGGAGCGGAAAAATGCTGAAGGCGGCTTGCGGCTTGGAAATGGACGCTGAACTGGGATGGGAGCCTCTTCCTTGACTTGCCTGCTGAATCAATACTCGCAGATGGATTGCGGGAATGTTTTAGACCCGATTAGAAGCTTGCCAGTTGCTCAACTAGGAGGATGCAATAACCTGAGCTGCACGAGCGTGCCAAACGATATCCCGAACTTCTCTAGACACTCTGCACCCCCAGACTAATCCATCCCGGGTCTGAAACCAATCGTGAAATGAAACTACTCTCATGGAAGGTGTTTTGTTCTGCGCATCGATGCAATCTGAAATCGTAATGCCGGCAAGGAAAGAATCCCATCATGCTGCTGTGATAAGCACCCGGAACCATATTTAGAAAAAGTCAATTCTGAATACCTGCAACTCAAACAAGCTAGCGGAAAGATTCTCTTTCCCGAGTTATCCATAAGCTTAAATTGGCTTCCGCTCCACGCCGTTCCACATCTACTGTCTTTACGAAATGGAAAGAGGGCAGCTCTATGGGTTGGATATAGCGGCCAGAGTTACATAACTTGGCGAGTTCTGCCACCTGGCAAACTACCTCGTTTCATTCTAAATCCTGAATCTGGATCTGTTGATTGCATAGCTCAGATTCTGGAAAATCTAGTGTTTGCATATCGTCTGGTATCGGATTCTGTCCAAAATGGAGATGAACAGTGATGAAAAGGTAAGTCGAGATCTTCACCTGCATATTTGGTCCAGTACTTTAATATCACATACATTGGTTTTGAGTATCAAGTTTCTTAATTGATATCATCTAAACCAGTTCAAACAAACAAACAGTGTACTAATATCATTTCTCATTTACTAGACCCTCAGACAGTCAGTTTGACACATTAGGGATTCGATTTGCCATCTATCACTAACCTTAAAATTGTTCAGGATTGAGAGGGAGTTGGACACTAAGATCTACCCTGGCACGGAGATTATGACAGATGTTGGTTCTCATCAATTTGTCAAGTGTTCAGATCGTGTCTTGGTCCCACAGCCATCTCAAGAGCCTAGTGATCCTTTGGTGAGTGAGCCCCCTGAGTATCTCACTGGACGGTAGAAGGATGACCATTTATTTACAAAATAGAACTGGAGCCCTTTCTGGAAAGCATGCGCGATGTTTCTTTCAACCGCGGTGACATTTACGCAAGCATTTGGTCCCATGGCTTTAGCGCCTATGTTCCCCCAATTAATACAGGAGTTCGATACCGACCTAGCTGGGGTAGTTAAATTCACTGGTGTTTGCATCCTGTTCCTTGGGTTTAGTAATTTTTTCTGGTGAGTTGAATGAATTGGGTGAAACCAACTTTCACGTATATTTTCTGGCTCTTTTGTTGACGAAGTACTTACGTATAGGGTCCCACTGCAAACATGCTTTGGAAGAAGGCCAGTGCTGATTTTGTCCACCTTGGTGTGTTTAATCGCCTCAATGTGGAGAGGCCTTGCCACGTCCTATGGGAGTTTCATGGGCGCCTCCATTTTGAATGGCTTTGGGGCTGGTCCAGCAGAGGTTAGAATCTTCTGGGTGTATTTATCAATGGCGAAAGATTGTCTCCCGTCTGACACACCGTATAGACCGCACAGCCACAAATAATCGCAGATATTATGTTTCTCCACGAGCGGGGCGCATACAATACGCTCTATTTCACCTTTTATTTTGGCGCATTGGTGGTACGTGTTATCTTTAGCCCGAGCTTCGTGGCGTGGTCGATACTAACTATTGCTAGGTGTCTCCCGTCATTGGTGGATCGATGGCACATAATTTGAACTGGTGCGACTTCTGGTGGCTCAATGTCGGCTTGCTAGGCTTTGTTCTAGTATTATTGGTGTTTCTTTTCCCTGAAACGAGATGGCCCCGAAGCCATCCCGTGGATCCGGTTGAAGGAAATAGGGTAGCTGACGAGACCACTGCCGCCAAAGCTGATTCAACTGCTACCTCATCGGCAAAGCCATCTACGGAGCCTGACATCGAAAATGAACATGCGAATAGGGACCCGTACCTCCGCAAGGGAAGACCCTCATTACGCCAGTTTAGGCTTTTCTCCATGGTTGAAAATCCCGTTAAAAGCCTGCTGCTTGACTTCTGGATCCCATGGAAGCTTCACCTCTTCCCCATTGTCCATTTAGCGGCTTTCATTGTATCCTGGTCGGCCAGCGTCTTTCTTGTGGTCAATGTAACCCAGAGCCAGCTTTTCGCGGCCCCGCCATATAATTTCAACAGTCAGACAGTTGGCTTTTTTAACTTTGCCGTCATAGTTGGCAATGGTATTGGCCTGGCTACAAATGGGTACCTCTCCGATTGGATTTCGATGCGTGCCACGAAGAAAAACAGGGGTATTCGAGAGCCTGAGATGAGACTTCCAGCGATGATACCCTATGTCATTATTATGATCATTGGCAATTTCGTCGTGGCATTTGGTTATGAGTATAAATGGGATTGGAAGGTATGAAGCCCATCCACTTTTCTAACCCCCAACACACAGTGGCCAAAGCGTGGTCTTTTATTTCCCCTTTTCTCTGGGTTTCATGGTCTGCGCATATGAATAAAATCAAAAACTTCTAGATAATCGTGATAATCGGCTATACCGCCGTTGGAATACAGGTAGCTGCCCTTCCAGCTATAGCCAGTACGTACGCAGTCGACAGCTACAAACCCATCGCTGGCAGTATTTTCGTCACCATAACCGTGAACAAAAATCTCTGGGGCTACGGTTTGAGTGAAATCATTACGCCGTGGACACAGCGCAGCGGCTTCATCCCAGCAATCATGCTGAATATGGGTCTGACGACTTTCTTCTGCGCTTGGGGGATCGTGTTTTATTACTATGGGAAGCGGCTAAGGAAGATCACAGCTAATTCGAAGGTGCATCAGATGTGATTTTACTTCGTAATTGCGCGCTGCTATTTTCCCTTGCCTGGTTTTGTGATTTCCTTTTCTAATGTCTAATGACGTGAGTTGTGACATGTGGCGTGGCCGAGGGGCAGGTTCTATTGGGCAGCCAATACTTATGAAGTTCTTCTTTTTTTTTAATAGCCTGTAGGGGCAAGGATTTTATCATGACCATATAATGACTTGTATATGAGGATAGTGATCACGCATGTGAGTTTTAATTAGTCGTTCTAGCAATGAAGGCATCTGTATGAAATGCTGAATCTTGGGTTTGAAGAGAAACAAATCGAAAAAGGCACAATGTACGGAGTACAAGCAAGTGTGTTAGTTCGAATTATACGATTCACCATATAGGTTGCAAACGAATATCATTGACTTTAACCCAGTTCCAAAGATCGCTGAAACTTGTGCACGCGATGCAACTTCAGTTCAGGTGAGCTGCCCTTAATCGTCCTCATCGGGGTCATATAAATCCAAATCCAATACAGCCTTCGGTTTCGGCCTGGGTGCTGGTACTCCTCCCACAGCAGTATCCGCCCGGCTAATGCCACCGCTTGCCCGGCCATGTCCAATCTGTTCCCCTTCAATCCCAACCACCTCATCCATCAATGTCCCCTGGCCGCCAGCCGCAGCGCTGGCTTCACCACCACCATCGACACCTACGCCCTCTGAGGTACGAATTAAGAGCTCAATTTCCTTCTCCACATCTACCCCTTCGTTCGCCTTTGCCTGTAACTGGCCCATCAACCCCATTCGTATCCGCTCTTCACTTGGGAATGCCATCCGTGACAAGTCGCGTGACCAGTTCGCCGTTTCGTCAAGCCAGGACACTGTCTCCTGTGACAGCGCTGCAACTCCAAAGCCCTTTCCCCCCTGCTGTCCTCCCGCACCCACTCGCTCTGCGTCTCCCCCGTTCTCTTCAATGACATTTGTTTGCTGCCCTTGACCGTCCGTGTCCCCCAGTGGCGGTGTCGCTTTGATGGGACTGCTAGCGCTAACATCTGCGGCCGCATCACTGTTATAACGACTAATTCTGCGGGCAAAATTAACAAGTAATTTGTAGTCAATCTCCTTTGTCTCCTTCCCTCTCCTATTCCCTGCCCGCTTCAACCCAACAGGAGACCCGGCCGATACGCCCCCCATTTGCGTATCTACATCTTCCCCTTCCTTCTCCTTTTCCCCGTCCGCCTCGATCTTGACGTCCGAGACACTACTATCATCATCACTTGCACCAACCCCCTCCTGGCACGCAGTGGATATTTCATTCCCCACGTTCTCGACTTCACGGACGATGTCGCGCACGCGCTCCTCCAGCGTGAGTGCTTCCGCACGCAAACGTAGGATTTTAGCGTAATTCAATTGGTGCGTGTGTAGCGTTTTAAGGGCGCATGAGAGCGCGTCGTCTGCCTCTAGGAGTGAAAGGGCTGCTGCCGGCGCTCCCGCAGCGGTTGGAGAAGAGACTATGGACATCAGCAGATTGTTTAGCCTTGTTTCTAGGGTGCTGAGCGGCGTGAGGAGTTGGGACTCCATCGCGAATGGCTTATGAATGTATTGCACTGCTACTTCTAGCAGGTCCAAAGAGTGTTATGTGATAATCGGTTCAGTTGCAGGAGATTGAGCGGACATGTACTCACGTGATCACATGCCGCGATCTTACCAAGATCGTTTGGAGTGGTTGAGCGAGCCTATAGTTTTATGACAATGAGGAGCTTAAACAGCTGAGTCACTTTATATAAGTGAGGTGCCAGAAAAACCATACCTCCACATACGCAATGATGAAAGAGTCACTAAGTTTTACACCTAGCTTGAACAGCAGGGCATTCAAAACTACTCCCTGGTCGGGACATCAGCGTTGATTTACTACAGTGCAATGAGATCTAGAGGGGTAAGTGATCTTATCTAGGCTCATATTTAGGAAATGAAAAGCTGTGTCTCCAAGCACCCTGCCCAGCAGGACTGGTTTATTTTTCCCTAGCAAAAACTACCCCCTTACGGTAGCTTGTCTGGATGCAGATAGGGAGACATTTTCCCGCAGCCATTTACCAAACCACAAGTGGCTTTTCTCGCCCACAGATATGCCAGGTATAGATTTGTGATCTCCTGCGCTTTCTTCGCCCTAGCCCCATCGTCTGATTGTCACATCTGATTGACATCATCTGTGCCCCTGAAAATCTTGAGCGGAGCAAAAATAATCCGCCCTACCCCAAAGTGCCTGTATTTGTACAGAGTTTTATTGAAATGCGATCTTATAGACAGTATTTGGATGTATGTACAGCGAGGTAGGGGCCACCGTGATCTCAGTGGCACAAATGATCTGGCTTGGGCTGAGAGTAGTAATAAATTAATACATGAATAGCTACTCCCTAGCGAGATGGCTCCTAGCGAGATGGATTTTCTGGTATGAATTTAGCCCAGTTGCGGAGAGTCGGGCAAAATCCAGGAGCAGGATGTTGACGGGAAGGAGGAGAGGATGCGAGGGAAGTATCAGACAGAATTCTAGAAAACTCGGTGCCAGTGCCAGGGCCTTCCTAGCCAACTATCCTCACTGTTCACCCTCGCTCCGCAATGCGACAGGTTCGGCTGACATTATCTGAGCAAATATTTTTAGCAAACATGACGTAGCAGAGATAGGAACTAGTTTCCAGATCCCAGCATCAGCATCATTCTTGTTTTCGCTGATCTCAGTAGGTGTGGGGATTTACCTTGCTCTCACACGGGGGGAGGCTAGTCGGCTCCGAATAGAGAGTTAGGATTCGCAGGCTTGGTCGCGGAAAGAGTTGGAGATACTGGTCCCTGGAAATACACTGGAAAAGAAGTAATGGTTGAAACTGTGTTGAACAATGGTAATCGTCGCTCATGTGACGGGGAGAGCGTCAAATGCTCTTCTAACAGTCAATGATTTGCTGTTGTCTAGTCCTTAATCTGTGAGACTTGTTGAATTGAAATCCATTTCTTCAGACGGAGACGCTGTCCGTTTAGGCTGACTTGAACTAAAACTTAATTTCCTCTCATAGATCAAATAACAGAATTATAGTCTTCTCGAGGGCAATGGTGGCGCGGAATTGCAGAACATGGGCTGGGTAAATCTCCTTTATTTCCTCAAAGCATAGAGGTCGGAAGTAGGGAGTAGAATGGGGGATTCAAGCATATGTTGAAACCCTAACAAGTACTGTATGTAATGTACATGTACATATATAGTTCTCTCCATTATTGTTTGATCTTTAAAATGGGATTAGTCCAACAAAAGCCTCATTAACTTGGGCATTACCATGGATCTGGTCGGCTTGGAACAGACATGAGACTGAAGAGACTGGCAGGGTCAAACACTATTGCTTCCTTTCATCAAACCCGTACAAAGATAGCTCAGTCGGTTGGTTGCAGCCTTGCACGCCCCACCTGACGGGGCAGCCCCATTGATGCCATTCTATGCATCCGCCGAGGGATCACGAGAAGAAATTTTGTTTTAGCCTGAGACTCATACATTGTGACTTGCATGTGCATCATGTACAGTGTACAACCTATTAGACAGTCTGTCAAGTGAGGTGGGATGAAGCAGATCTGGTTATAATAATTAGGGCAAGCGACCCAAAGTTGGCATAGTCCTTTGAACTTTTCCGAATCGGGACTCACGTCAGATTGAGCCGCAAAGTTTGTCAGCATTGAACCCGAGACTAACCCGCTTTGGGCAATGTTCCCCATCTAGACCATTTTCAGCCTTTCCAACCCAGGCCAACGTCGCCTCGATGCCATCCAACCAACAACTTATCTTCAGCATCCGTTCCCCCTCCCCTGGTTCCCTATTCCCTATTCCTCCTCTCCCGCCTCCTCGTTCGCCGTCCACATCAGTCCAACCATCCCGTATAACACCTAACTTCGCTAAATACAACGATTTCTCTATTATACGGCGCATTTTCCCCCGTACGTTCCCCGCTATCTATCCCGCTTGCGAACCGTCAGCTCAAACATCTACCCCGCCCAAGGTCTTTCAAATATCGCAATATACACTTCCTTCCTAAGACGCCTGTTTCCATGCAAAGATTCTAAGATTGAGGACGAGAAACTGCTTTTCAGTCGCTGTTTATTCCGCCATTCGCAGCCATGGGGAAATCGTGAGCACCCAGTTCTCCCAGAATGTTTCACAGCGCTTTCCCGCGTCAATTCCTCTTTCCCCCCCCCCCCCCCCACCCAAGACTCCTACCCCCGTTATCTTCATAGGCTGGTTTACGCCATTTACCGGGGGCTTGCTCCTAGTCGGTTCATTCTGAAATCCCTACATGCACGCAATATGTTTGTCTACGGAGCGGTGCTGGAGCTCACCCCACCACAAATGATAGGTCTAATATTCAAGATACAAGTGCTAACTATTCGATGTTTTGCCATGAAGACAGTCAAAACTCTCCCCTTCACAACTGGACGAACTGCAGAAAGCAACCCACTTTGATAGAAAGGAATTACAGCAGTGGTACAAAGGTATTCATTCTTGTTCCACAATTAAGCCGCGAGGACATGGGATGGTTGATATGAAAGGTTCTGTTCGCCTTTCTGCTGACACGTGTAATCATGGTCACTTAGGTTTTCTAAAGGACTGCCCCTCTGGCACCTTGACGAAGGAAGAATTCCAAAAGATCTATCGGCAATTCTTCCCTTTTGGAGACCCGTCCTCGTTCGCGAATTACGTTTTTAGAGTCTTCGATTCCGATGAGAGCGGCATGATTGATTTCAAAGAGTTCATTTGCGCGTTGTCCATCACCTCTAGAGGAAGAATGGAAGATAAATTGGACTGGGCTTTCCAGTTATATGATATAGATGGTGATGGGAAAATAACCTACGAAGAAATGCTGGCTATCGTTGAGGCTATATATAAAATGGTATATGGTTCTTCTTTTGCGTAATACACTCTTATATGTGTTTATAGCTTTTGAAAATCTAACGGTGCCGGATTGCGTGTTCTAGGTTGGGTCGATGGTTAAACTACCCGAAGACGAAGATACGCCCGAGAAGCGGGTGAGAAAGATCTTTCGCATGATGGATAAAGATGAGAATGGAAGCTTAGACCTCGCGGAATTCAAAGAGGGAAGCAAGAGAGATGAAACCATCGTCAGCGCCTTGTCTTTGTATGATGGGCTAGTGTGATTGAGGGGCGACTTCTGCAAGGGGATTCAGTCACCTTGCAATCTGCAATCTGCACACGCATAGACATGCCACCATTTAATGCCCAGTCACGGCCAAATGTTGGGTCTATTTTTTTGACTGACTCTCTCCTCTCTCACTTTCAAGGGGCGTGTGAGGGTTTTTTTAAAGGGTGCTTTTTGGCTAGTTTGTCTGTCTCACGCATGCAGTACGATGCCGTCCAAAGCACCCTTTCATCATCGTATATCCCCGATGCTTACATCTTCAGCCCCCTGCCGGCTCTACTGCCATTTACTCTTACCCTCCCTACCTCCACACGCTCTCATAGCCGCCCTTTTCTTGATTAACTACCTGATGGATTGCGGTTTCCTTACTCCATTCCTAGTGGGAAATGTGCCACCTGATTCCAATGCTTTTTAATAATGATATAAAGAAAAAGAGAGATACGAAATTCCTTTTTTTCTTTTGTAACTCTTTTGTAACACTTTTTTCGGTTTTTTTTTTTTTTTTTTTTTCTCCACCACAAACTACAGCATGATAAAAAATTAAGCCCAATCACTCTGCCACATGTGGAATCTATGCGCTTCCTATCTTGTTTATTCTATGCTCTATATGTTTTACACGTCTTGTCTACCTCAGTGAGCCGTAGTTTCATCAGGGAAATGATTTTCTTTGCTGTATGTTTCCCTGTGCTTTTCTATCAGTTGCCTTATACTATTTCATTTTCATTCCGTCGATTCCCCCGCACAACTCTGTAATCCTGGTGGTCTTCATTTTGAGGTGAGATATGATCAGAAGAATTACTGATGTATTTTACTTCTTTCCGCCGCCGCTTCTTGTATTTTTCAAAAATGGCTAATTCATTGGCTTCACAAACATGCTTTGTTCCATCCTTGCAGTGAGTCTGGTCTATATTCTCAATATATCTTAAGAGTTTCTATTTTGATTCATTTCTGTTTCCAGTACTTTTATAACCGTGCATATTCAGTGATGAGGTTTTTGAAAACTATTACACACTTCATTGTAGTGGCAATCGCTCCACCAGCATGTGATCTCCTATAGAGTCTCTGCACTTCTACAAATCGTTGTATTATGTATGCAAATAATCTCTTCAATAAGCTCTTCAAGTAGAGAACATTGAATTGATAGATAAAAGCAGCATAGTTGAGATCAGAGAATTTTTCATTGAATTCTATGACAGCTTCTATGTATTTTTCAGTCTCTTGAGGTCTTTCAATCGTGTTGAGATAGATGATAAATGTGGGAATGATGATGAAAAATTCAGCAGTGTGATTTTATGTAACGCTTACCACTCACTATATAGTGAGTGGGGTCATATCTCTCTATATATCTCTCTATATATCTCTTCTCTCTATATATTATAGAAAAACCAACTTTTCTGAGTAAAATGCCCTGTAATGTGACCTCACATGATATCATGTGCACTTCATCAAATCCATGAACAGCTGGCTCTGCGGCCTGTATAACTCTGATATTAATATTCATTCTTTCCTTTACAGATGTTCTCTACTATATTTACATTCTTTATACTCTTCTCTACATTCATTACAACCTATACATTCATTAATATACTCTATTTATTATAGAAAAACCAACTTTTCCATGCAAAAAACACTGTAATGTGATATTATGTTCATTCTATCAAAAATATTTGAATGCCCTGACTCATACAGCTCAGATCAATCTTCAAATTTTCATTCTTTTTTTCATTCTGCTTCTTTCATACATTCTCTACAGTATTTACATTCTTTATACTCTTCTCTATGTTCATTTTGCCAAATGCTCTGTAACATGATCTCATGTGATGTCATGTGCACTTCTTTGAATTCAGATGGGATTGAACAGCTGACTCTGCAGCCTGTACAGCTCTGATTAATCTGATAATGATGATGAAGGTGATACAGAGTGAAAGAGAGTGGTAAGAGTGATAGAGATGATCGGGGTGATAAGAGGGGGGTAGAGAGGTAGAGATAGAGAGTGAAAGTGATAGAGGGGGCTGCGGGGCGGTAGAGGTGATGATGATGGTAAAGGGAGTAGAGGGTGGAAGAGGTGGTAGAGAGGAGTAGAGAGGACTGCGAGGCGGTAGAGATGATGATGATGGTAGAGAGGTAGAGGTGAAGAGGGTGAAAGAGAGGGGTAGAGATAGAGAGTGAAAGTGATAGAGAGGGCTGCGCAAGCAGCAAAGCGAGCGTAAGCGAGCGTTTGATGCTTGTGTAGAAATAATTATAATTATTAACAAATCATACAAAGCAGAAAGAACATTTTGTAGAATAGTTGAAGGTTGTATTGATAGATCTATCTACAGGAACATAATATAGTGGTGGGTCATGTGATCTAGTGAGATCACTAACCGCAACAGCCGTAAGAGCCAACACCCTCTCTCAAGATAACAAGAATCACATACAAAAAAAAAACACCCAAACCATCAAGATAGTCTGTCAAAACCAAATATAAATGTAAAATTAAACATTTCTAACTTTTGTACCTGTAAGATCTAGCAAAATCATGAATTGCATAAATATCATATTATCTAGAGATTTAGTGAGTTTATTCATCATTATCTGAGTGATGAGAATATATTCTAAATCAATGATTCTCTGATTTAACTGTCAATGTAAAAAATGAAAACACATGTCAATGTGCTTACTTCAGACTGTAATAACTGTCATCTTTGTGAGATCTATAACACTCTTATTATCAGTGAGAATCTGTATCAGAGATATAGTAATGAAATCAAGCTCAATTATGAGATTCTGAATTCATGTTATCTTGTAGATCATCTCACTGAGAGTCACATATTCAGTCTCATTGAAACTTAGAGATATATAAGATTGCTTTACTGAATGCTATGAAATTGAGTTATCTGCAAGCTTAAAAACATAGCTAGATGTTGATTTTCTATCATTATTTAAGAGATCAGCTCAATCAGAATCTGAGTAGCTGAAGAGTAGATAGAAATCATCAGAGAAATCAGAAATAATGAAAGAATTGATAGAAACAGAAAAATCAGTAGAAATGAAAGAAACAGAAGAAACAGTAGAAACAGAAGAAATAATAGAAACAGATCTCTTATACAGATCATGTCTGTAGAAAATACTCAGATTTATAATCTCTTTTAAATAATGTATAATGTGTAATAGAGTCTTTCAATATTGAGATGTTGAATCAATATTCTGTTGAGTGAGTAGTAAGACAGTATGAGTAATATCAGAATATGTTTTAACTGCAAGATATTGCAAGTAACTCACATTATATTGATATCACTGAATTGTGAAATCAGTCTCTTTCTCAGATATAGAGAAATTATCAATGCAGAATTCATTCTTCATTGATATTCTGACAACAGCTGTATTATCAAGATAGAAATCTTCAACAAGATATTTAATATATTAATAATATATCAAATCAATTCTCTTATCTGAACAATTAATCTTTATACTCAAATACTTGATTAACTGATGTAGATTCTTGACTTTTAATTTCTCACTGAGTATACTCACTAGTTAATCAGCATTCTCAGAAGCTTTGAATATGATGTTGAGATTATCAACATAGATTGTCATATAAAGATGACATCTGAATATATGATATCAGAGTACTGAATTATAAGTGCTGACTATAAATCTAAGATTACTTAACAGAGCTGTTAAGTAATCATATCAGATCTTCACTGCAGAGTTCAGGCTGTATAGACTACTCTCAATCACATAGACAAGTGTTTTCAGTGAACCTGTTTTAAATTCAGTGAGTTATTTTATATAGATCTTCTTAGTGAGATGCTTATAAAGATATATCATCACTATATTCACTTAACAGAGTGTTCAACTGTGTAGTACTGCTATTGTAAAAAGAATACAATTAACAGTATCAGTAATAACAGAAGTGTAGATCTCTTCTCTAGAACTCTTCTTAAGTCAGTTACTATAAATCACTTAATGTAATTTTCTAAGAATATTATCAGAATCAGTATTCAGATCTGCAGATCTATCTTTCTCAAGAAATACTTAACAGTCTGAAGTAATTAGTTCATCTCTCAGAATATCTGATCTAGAAATCAAACTTCATGTATTACATCTCTTCAGATCAGTAATCTCATATTATATGAACTTCTTTCAATAATCTTCTACTCTTTCTGACTGTGATATGACATTCTTATAGAACTTCAGAAGGTTATCTGTAATAAGACTCAGAGTATATATAGCCAGCGATTTCACAGGCTGCAATCATGTAGAATTCAGATCATCAATGTCAGAGACATCTTTATTATCAATCAGATGAATATCAGACTTCAGTTCAACAATATAATTAATGAGTTTCACAGATGTAATGATCAGTTTTTCAGTGATTGAGAATCTCACATCACTACTGACAATAATCTTGTCAGATTCAGAATGCTATAGATGATATATTGATATGTCACTGAATTCAATAATATGATAGAAATTGACATGTGAAGAAAGCTTATTCACAGGTCACTGAGATTCATGCAAGTGAACAAAAATCTCTGTACTTAATCAGTGAAAATGCCTCACATTCAGCGGGGTATTCATAAGTGCATATCAAGAAATCTTATATGAACTTGAAATCACAGAAGTCTCTGCAGTAGAGAATCAAAATTTTAAGTTGTAAAGAACTGTAGATGTGAGAGTATTATTGATTATTACAATCACTGTCTCTAGAACATCTACTCAGAACTTCTTAGAGAGATTATCTTTTAAAAGAGCAGCTCTAATCTGTTCTATGATAGTGTGAATCTTATGTTCAGAAATGCCATTCTGATGTGATGAATATGATGTCATTAATTCTCATTTAATATTATATGAATTCATAATTGTGTGCATACATGTGAATTGGAAAACATCATCAATATCAGTCTGTAGAAAAGCAGAAACTGTATATCTGAGATTACTCATGAATCTGAGTCATAACTCAAAGTATTGAACAGTCTCATTCTTGAACTTTAAAAAATATACTTAACAGTAGCAAGTCACATCACAGATGATAAGTATTCAGTATTTAATTCTCTAGCAGAACTCTAAAAGATAGTCAGAGAGATCTTTCAATGTATATCTGTTATCTATAAGGTTAATATGAACCTTCTCAATGAGTCAGATAGATCTAGACATCAGTGTTTTTAAATAATCTCATATCATACCTGCCTTGACACATTTCTCACAAAAGAACTTAGTCTTAGAATCTTTAATTATGACTTTAGTATGAGAATTCTTGATCATAGCAATTATAGCATCAGTATGAATGTGATCAAGATTGTAATATCAATTTAAAAGAGTCTTTGATATCTTTGATATCTATGTTCTCACATTCACAGAATCAATATTATTAACAGTAGTGACAGCAGTCATAGAAAGATCAACTTTTCAGTTAAAATCATACTTATGAGACATTGTAATATACTTGACTGTCTTGTTTGAATGATTGAGATTCTCATTGAACTTATATTCATCAATCTTATATATATTGTTCTGAGCAGTTTGAACTGTATAAAAAATAACACTGTTCAGAGCTCTGCAAATGAAAAATGAGAAAATGATGAAAGATAATGTAAATTGAAATCCCTGATCTTCAAGCTTCACAAATGAGAGCAGGTTAACTGTAATATTAGAAATATAGTGAACATTCTGTAAGTTAATATTATTATTCTCAATCTTCAAGATGATAGTCTTAATCTTCTTGACAAACTCAGTTTCCTCAGTTGCAGAATTGACAGAGATATTATCATTAAAAGATTTAATATTTGAAAAAGAATGAAGCTTGTCTATCATATTCAGACTTGTATATGTGTTCAAATATCAAGATCTAGAGAATGATTTTCTGATAACTGTGAAAGAGAAATAGAACTCAATCTTTGTAATTACTGCATTTGCTGCTGATTGAGAACTTATTAAGTCATTCTTCTTCTCTTTCTTCTTATCATTCTTCTTTTCATCCTTCTTTTTCTTTTTATCAGAGTGTAAGATGAAACACCTGTCAACAGTATGTTCATATCTTCTACAGTGAGTGCACTTTTATACAGATGTGCTTTTCTTCTCATTCTTATTCTTATTCTTGTTCTTATTCTTTTTCACAGTCACAGAATCAGTCTGAGACTGCTTTTTCCACTCAATGATAATCTTCTTAAATGTATGATTGATCAGTTGCTTCATCAAATCATCAATATCAATATTGACAATGAGTCTCTGATCAGTGAAGAAAAACTCATTCAAATATGTCTTAATAAATAATCTTTGATAATCTTGTAGATTGTTGAGAAAAAGATTATAATATACATTCTCAGTACTCTGACAAAGCTCTTTATAACAGATAATAAGATAGTGAAAATGTCTCTGAAAAGTAAGATAATCATTCTTCTTAACTTGTAA